TGGCCGTGTACATTCAATCCACCTTGTATTTTTTTGTGTTACTGGAGGTAAAGTTCCAATAACTAGAAGCCGAATATTTACCTCCTGAGGAGGCCAATCTGGATGTGAAAATTTTGCTGAAATTATTGTTACATCTACACCTATATCTAGTAAACCTTCAATTACAAGGCCATTGATTTGTACATTTAGCTTTGATGTTTGACCATTTATAGAAGTTTGCCAAAACACTTCCTTTTTTGGTCTCTCCAGAAAATTGTGCTTTATTGACTGAAGCTGTTCTGTCATCCAAAGCACTACAGTTTTTAACAACAGGCATTAAATCTTTTAATTGCTCTGTGGAGAAGTTTTCCCAATGCTGAAAAGGAATGATTGAACCAAATTTGACGTTGGGACCTGTGAGAGTCCCCCTAACGCATTTCCTATTGGCAAAGGGTTACCCTGCCAGTCCCATGAGAATATGCATTCATTAGTCCAATGGAGGCCTTTGCCACACATTCTCATACTCTGGAAGCCTGGGGCCTTCTGTTTGGATCATCTCTAGAAAAAAAAAATCATTGTTTCTAGGAAAGCCTTACCTACAATCCCTTTTCAGATGACCTTGTTTACCACAATCAAAACATCCAACCTTTAGATTTTTCTTAAAATTTTTAGAAAACCCTTCTTCTATCCAAGTTGCATCATAAGTGTGAGATCCAATATCAGTATTTTGTATCATTCATCTATAGGTGCTGTTCTTGCCTTTAGAGGCATAATTACCCTTTTGCATTCTGAATTAACATTTTCAAAAGCTAAAGATAAATTAATATTTTTCTAAATTCTGGATCTGATTGCATTCTATTTACAGCTAAAGTCAATCTTGTTAAAAACCAGTGAAGGCTTCTGTTGGTTCTTGTATAATTTTAGTAAATGACTCAGTCCTCTTTCCTGATTCTTCAGCCCAGTGCCAAACATACAAAACTGCTATATGACATAGCACCAAGGTGTAATCATCAAATCTAGACTGTCTTTGCAAATCAGCATACTGGGCTTCACAGAGAAACTGGCTTTGGGAAATTTCAATACCTCTAGCCCTACTTCTATTACGATAAATCTTTCTGCCATAAGCTGCCCAAGCCCCACAGTCACAGCTGCCCGCCCGAGTTAGGGCCCAAATTAATACACAGAGATGACTTGTATTAGGTTCAAGTGCTGCTTGACCAATGACTAGGATTCCCATCTGTTAGCTCAGTCTTAAGTATCATAAACCTATATATTTTATAAGACTTACCTTATCGGATGCCTTATTGGTGTCCCTTCTTGCCGGTGGCTCACATCCTGCTGCTGGAGGATGTGAAGGGGAAAGGGGGACATTTCCTATTTCTCCTTGCTCAAATATGAGTCTCCTTGCTATGTCACTTCTGGCCTGGAGCACCACTTCTCTACTACATTTCCCGGAACCCTCTTTGACTCCTAGTCCTGTCTAACTTGCTGTTTCATTGGCCAAACAGAACTTTATTAAACAATCAACAAGATAAACATACACAGAAGTACATTCCCCATCATACTTCATTGTTCTATGACCCTAACTTCGTCTCTCCACTATGCTTTCTATTGTACCTGGGGACTAGCTTCCAATACTGTTGTAGCTATACTGTTTCCAGTCTTATAGAATAATTCTGTTCCTAGTTGCCCATAAACTTTACATCTGCTTCACAAAGGGTGAATGCATACCATATGAAATAACTGCTCCCTTAAATCTTGTCAAATCTAACATTTCTACAGGATCCCTATCCTCTGGTGCTTATTTTGTATAAATTGTATAAACTGAATAAATTAAGTTGGTTTTCTAATAACCTTGGAACATACCTCTTCAGTTTCACAATGCAATGGTTCTGCTCTAAACTCATTAGTAGGTCTTTCTAAGGATTGTACTGTACCATTCTATTTTTTTTATATTTGGCTCCTATATCAAATCACCTTTTTAAGGATGAAACTTTAATTACCGAAAGGTGGTGGTGGTGCGCACCATTAATCCGAGCCCTGGGGAGGAAGAGGCAGGCAAATCTCTGTGAATTCGAGGCCAGCCTGGTCTACACAGTGACGTCCAGGATGGCCAGGGCTGTTACACAGAAAGACCCTGTCTGAAAACAAAACAAAACAAAACAAAACAAAAACAAACAATAAAATTACCTTAATTACCAAACTGATAATAATTGCAACCAGCATTATGTCAATCCCAGATAAATTGATTTTCCCTTCATTTAATTTTTCTGTTTTTCAAACCATCCAATGTGGAACCATATAGAGTTCTAACTTCCTTCATCATGATATTGATTCCCATTCTTAATATGAAAAAAAAAACTCAAAAACAAAACAATCCTCCCACCTTAAGAATTCCCAGGTGTCTCATCACCTCTGCTGCCTATTCAGTTTTTCCTCACCTTCAACATTGGAGCTGTGCCTGGGTAGCCAGCTGCAGGGACAATGCTGGACTGTGTGTCCAGGGATTTGGGGCGCTGCACTGTGCCCAGAACTAGGGTAACATGATGCAGCTGGCTGTCACTGTACTGCATGCCCAGACTGATGGTAACTGCAGCTGCTCGAACACTCTGTGAATGGGGGTATGAGCTCCCTGAAAAGTTAATGTGGGGAGACAGGGTAGGAGAAGCCTGTGAGACTAGGACACAGCATGGAAGGTCACCTGCTGCCTGAATTACAGAGCTGGCAATGGGCAGGCTGACTGAGGCAGCTGCAGGGCTGGCAGGAGTCTGTGTCTGCATATTTGGTGCTGGGGCATGCAGCCCAAGGTGCTCTGTTACAGGGAGATTGCAACTGAAAAGGCCCAAGTGGAAAAGGCAGTGACCTGAGACAGCTCAGAGAAGTGGGGGCTTTAAAAGCCACCACTTGATCTTGCCACATATTGGACACCAGATGAAGCTATTACTTATATTGTTCTATTACTACATAAAACTCAAGAGTCAGGTACTGAGGTTAAAACCTGATAGGTCCAAACAGTGACAGAGGAACAATCCACTGACCTTGCCTCTCCACACTTCCAGATCAAAAAGGCCTGCAAATAATTCTAAGCTCCTCTCTATTCCTTCCTGTGCCTCTCTATCTTATTCTGGCTCTGTCAAAAAAACCTCTATGGTTAATTCTGGACAGCCAAATGTTGACTCGCCCCTCTGATCTAAAGAGAACCAATTGTTTTATTTAGGACAAGGCTAGAGAATACAGGTACCACAATGTGTATCAGTATTTCCTTGTCAGTGACTTTGAAGCTGGGACACATTTATTCAACTGAAGATCATATCACAGAACACCCCAATTTGTCTAAACTCTTAGCTTTCTGGGTAAATTTCCAATCTTTGCACAGTTGACATTTTAGAGTGATAAATTCTTCAGTATGGATTGCTGAGTGTCCAGAGTACTATAGAATATTTAACAATGCCTTTGCCTTATCTATAATATGAAAGTAACACCCTTATATCCCCAATAGCATCCCACCTCTCAGGCAAAATATTTCCAGATACTTCCAGAATGTCTGGGGGGACAGAGCAATGAGAAATTTATCCACATTTAAAGATGAGTATTATGGAGTATTTGACTTAATTTGTGTAATATTTACCATGCAATCCCGTTTCAGAAAGCACATTCTCATTTGAATGGACTTAGAGACAGAAAGTGTGTCATCACCAGTGACATCCACCAGATGCAATGAGTACAGGTTCCTTCAGTTAGAATTCTGTGGAGAGCCTCTAGGGTTATATTTTTCCAGCCACATTGTAAATATTGTGTGCAACCACAAATTGTCTGCTCCCAGGTGAAACATGATGAAATATCAGCATTTGCTTGTGGGTCCAGGATGCATAGCTACAAAAAATTATTTGAAAAATGAAAGATGTCTTTTTGCTCGATTGTATCCAAATGTCATTCTAACCATAATTTTAAATATGCTTGAACATAACTGCCATTGTAATCTTGACTTGAGATGTAGTTGTACCCAAATGTCATTTTAACCTTGTTTTGAAGCACATTTTGCTTTCCTTTGCAAGGAATAGTGGTTTTAGAAAGCCTCTGTTTTCCATTGAGGAGTAAATATCTGGATTAGAGCTTAAGTGGGTTTGAATCATGTACTTTAACAGTTGAGTGCGGGTATTTTCCACTGACGAGGCGTGCTTGTTATCTAAGGGAGGTGAGACTTGAAGGAGTTTTAGACAGTGCTTGTGAAAGCTACTTCTAGAGGGATGGGGAAAGTTTAAATCTAGTTTTGAAAACCATGTGTGTATTACACCAAGTTTCTCACTGAAGAAGACCAGTGTCTTACTTTGACAAGCTTATGGGAGGAGGAGACTCCTATGTAGAAACATCTTTTTGAAGGCAGTAGTCATGATAGAAATGAGAGCTTACTTTCCTCCACATGTAAACAGATATTAGAGGGGCTTGGTGATCCACTCTCTGCCATTTTTATGAAGTCGTGTCTGCCCCACCTGTGACAGTGACAAACTGTAAGACACCAGTTCACTGAAGAAAGAACAAAACATCATGTCAATGTTGTTCTTTTTTTAACCCCCATGAGAGCATGAAGCAAATAACACCTCCTCTACCTCATGCTCTGTATCCTCCAGAGAAAGCAGTGATGAAAAGTGGCATGGCTGGAAGTCTGGCAGCGGAAGAAAGCAGGAAGAGAAGTCATGGGGTGGAACAGTTGCTCAAGAGCTCTGCATTTAGCCTTGAACACACTGAGTTGGCAATACAACAATTTACTGATATGGATGGCTTTTGTTCTAAGAGCATATTGGAAACTCTTGGGATCTAATGTAGGTTTGGTGTTTGTCACAGGGACAAGGAAAAGATGTCTGTGAATGTTCGGTGCATAAAACACTAACTCCTGTAGGGTCTAGGATTCTGCTTGTGGGAAATACACAGGAGAGTTATTCTGTGCTCGACGACGTTGGTCCAGCGTGAAGTTCAGTTCTGCACACTAATTTTAATTCATTATATATGCCTTTTCTTCCCAGCACAAATGGACCCCCGAGGCCTATCTCCCAGACAAAGTAAAAGTGACAGTGATGATGATGACCTGCCAAATGTGACCTTAGATAGCGTTAATCAAACTGGATCCACGGCCCTTTCCATAGCCAGAGCAGTACAAGAGTAAGTACCACAATCTCAGGATGCCATGAGCATTGCAAGGTGATGGATGGATAATGGGAACCTCTCTGGCCTCTCAGGCATGTCACTCTAGCTCTGAACTGTCACGTGTGACTGTGTATGTCCATTTGGCCTGCATGCTTTGGGAGAAGGTTATGGCAAAGAGTGAAATGCCTCAAAAGAGTGGGGAGTTTTTGTTGTTAGATATAAGAACTCTGTGTACCCTTTCAACCCCCCTTTCCCCCTTGCACCCTTCCTTTCTGGGAAAGAAATTGTTCTTTTTGAATATTTGTATCCAATTATCATCACCATTACTCATCTACAAAGTGGAGTGCAATAGACTGTTTCAAGTATCCTTACCTTGGCATTTATTATGATTTTTATATGGTTTTAAAATTTTAGTTTTAATTGTATGTGTATATGTCCATGACTACAGTACTTGTAGAAACCAGAAGAAGTCATCAGATCCCCTGGAGGTGGAGTGGTAGGCAATTCTGTGTGAGCAGCAAACTCTGTGTAGTGGGTACAGATACTGTCCAAGACCAGTATGTGCTTTTAACCCGAGGGCTATCGCTTCAGTCCCTCCTTGTCTTAATTTGATAGGAAAGCACCGAACAGCTTTATGGCAGATGAAAATTTGGAGGATACTATGTCAGTACTCTGGATAATAGGAATCAGACACACCTTTACAATGGATTATTTCCCTCTTTGCTTTCTTTCACTCAGACCACAGAAGTAGAAATCAACTTTTGCTTGTAGAAACCTGTAGTGAGAGATCTTACTAGGTACCAGTGGCACTGCCCATGCCCATTTGGGCATGGTCACAGGTGTTTACATGAGATTTTGTGGGATTTTGGTCTGGGGTCAGGGACAGACTTGCTTTCTTTGAGTTCTGGTTGGGTCTTGGAGGGCAGGTGAGATTGGATGCTAGGAGTGCTGACATTTGTAACTTTGTCCACTCTGTCTGTAACAGAACTTGTGCTAGTCTATGGGCATTTTTTTTCTGGAGAATACTATTTTTGACATTGTTGAGAAAGAACTGACAAAATTGTGTATATTTAAATTTTACTGGTGTGATGATGTGTTTCAGAACTGTGTAATGATTGCCATAGTCAAGGTCATAAATGTACCCATCATTTCACTAGGTACTTTTTGTTGTTTCTGTCCAGAATCCTTAGGATCTGCTATTTCTTTTATTTTATGCATACATGTGCTTTGCCTGTATAAGTGTATATATGAATGTATGTCCATACACCAAATACATGCCTGGTACCTGCAGAGGATGGAATCAACATTAGATTTCCTTGGAACTAGAGTTATAGATGGCTGTCAGCCAACCTATAGGTATTTGGAATTGGACATGTCCTCTGCAAGACCAGCAAGTTCTCTTAACCACTGAGCTTCTTCTCAGACCAAGAGCTATTTCTTAACAAATGTCAAATATGCATCTCAGTATTGTGAACTGTAGTCACCATGGGATACGCCAGATCATCAGTTTACCATTTATTCGTCCTGAAAGTCTTTTCTCCCCACAGCCTAGCTCTTGTAATCTACTATCCTGTTCTCTTCTTCTATGTTCAACTTGTTGAACACCACAAATTAGTGGGAGCTCTTTGATATTCTTCTCAGATACAGTTTCAAGCTACAATATTTTATATAAAAATGCAAGTCCTTGTCCTTGAAAATACTCTGAAAATCACGTATGCATAATAAGAGAAGCTAGATTTATTATTCATGTTGGTGTTTTCATTAAAAGGTTAATAATGCATACATTGAGCTCTGTCACCTAGAAAGCTGCAGAATACCTGGATCATCAATGATTCATACAGCATCCTTTACGTCTGAGTCTGCACGCAAGCATTTAGAAGTACTGCTTTTGTTTGAAACAGCTGAGATGCCCCACACAGCCTCTCAAATACAGAGATATTTCCAAATGTCTAGCACTATACTGAAAAAATTTCACTGTAAGAATTATATAACCCATGCTAAACTACAGAAAATTCTGTACACTACTTGGTTTAGCATTAACTTTCAATGTTTTTACTCAGCTGTGAATTTGTCTTCTCGGTCTTGTTTTCTCTTGAATGCCTAAATACGTGTAATTTTCCTCTATTAACTACTCTTTCACCTCTTTCTTCTTTCTCTTCATCTGATGCCCAGTGTCAAGTCAAACTATTAACAATATCAGTTTAGCATGTAAATAATGAGATTTCAAAGAATTCTTGGGGGTGTCTCCATTTTCTGTACTTGCAGACCTTTTCTGAGACTATTGGATGGAGAAGCATGCTGGGAGGAAGATGGTAAAATCTGAGTTTTCTGTAGAGCAGATGAACAAGTTTTCAACCCTGGGGAATGAAATTATGCTTTGTCTTTCCAGTTATAGGGCAGTGGAGCCCTGTTCTAATGTGTATTCAAAGGTTTTCCCGCAGCTTTGCTTTTTTCCCTGCAGTATAGAGTTGGCCATGAGAGCAGGAAGATGGGTAAGGGGGAGGAAATTCAGGAAGACTGACACCAGAGAGGATGAAACCAGCCATGCCCTAAGTCAGTGTTTTGCTGAAGACCCCTAAGAGGCTGAACCAATATCTCTACCTGAAGTACATATCAGATAAGCCTTAATATGCTAACAATTTCCCCAATAGTATTCATTTTGTTAATTTTTAAAGAGGGTTTTTAAAATTAAATTTTAGCTTTAAAAAAATGGTTTCTCGTGATCTGATATACAGAAGTTGGTAGCCAGCATGTATTTTCTCCCCAGAGATTCAGATGTGCCATCAAATAAAAAAAGAGCACCCCAGGCCACCTCCATTTATATGAGCTTTACTCCTGAGGGCACTGGTCAGTATTCTTAAAAGGATCTCCTGGACCATTCTCATGGACCAATATGTTCACCCCACCCCCTTCCTCAGCTTAGTCAGTAAATTCAACTAAGTTGCGAACACTAGCCAGGGAGTGACTCACAGATGGGCTCTTTCCTGTTTTCATCTTTTAGACACCCTACATGTTACCAGACATGTATCTAGTAGGTGATTCTGGCAAATTTCACCATGTGTAGAACATCTTTGGTTTTGTCTCTGTCTAAATCCCCAGGCCCCTGCACAATGGTAAAATGGGATCATAACACCGTGACAAGTTGATAAACATAATTATGAAATAAGTGTTTAGAGGGAGAAAGGCAAATGCACATGACTTGAGCAAATTATTATAATTAACTCTAGTCCTACGCAAAATACTGATGTTTGTGAAATAGGTGAACTGTTGAGTTTGAGGCTTGACTGCCCAGAACCTCTCATTGTTTCTCTTTTTCCTCTCTCTAAATTCTGAACATTCTGGGTCCTTTCAGTATATGCAGAATGAGCGTGTTCCATAAGCTATAGTATAAGTGAGCAGTGTGCGAGAGGGGCCCTCCCCTGAGGAACTGCTGTCCTACCCAGATCAAGCTAATGGTGCACAAGGAAAGGGCGACACATTGGAGAAAGCAGAGGAAGATGTTTTGACTAGCATCCTGACATCTGTACCTGCTAAAATGAAACAGTTTTTAAATGACTTGTTTTCCATCACATTCAAGCGCTTCCATCATTTCAATGTCTCCTGTGTCCCATCTTGTTACATGGTTATGTGAAACGCCCGTCTTCAAGGAGAAGCCAACTGGTAGATTTTAGAAAACGAATAAACTTATGTTTGGTGCTTCTTTTGCACAAGTGTGCTTCAAAAGAGAAAACATGGTGGCCAATTAGACATTCCATGCTTACCTCAAACTTCCCCGTAGCTAGTTCACACATCATGATACCTCATTTAGAAAACGGCATTTAATGATTCAAGAAAGTCAGAATGGTTAAGTGGTGGTTTTTTGGTTTGAGGGTTTTTTTTTTCCTTCATTTTTGTCATTCCAAACTTGTTGAACAGTTAACACACCCTTGCTTTCCTTAAATTCCTCCTGATGATTCTGTTAATGTCTTTTAAATCACACAGGAGAGCAGTACTAGAGATGAGAAAGGAAACAAAAACTATTATCAGGGCTTACAGTTGGCAGCTTCTCTGAGAATTCTTACTGTGTTCATTTCATTCACCCTAAGGTGCTGCTTTTGCCATGTGGAGCCTATCCCACATGGAGGGATTCACCCTGAGCCTAGACACAAGGGGGTGGGCCTAGGCACTATCCCAAAGAATATGATAGACTTTGAAGATCCCTATGGAAGGCCTCACCCTCCCTGGGGAGCAGAAAGGGTATGAGATAGGTAGGGTACTAGTGGGGGGAGAGGAGGAGAGGAGGGGAAGGGGAGGGACCTGGGGTTGACATGTAAAATAATTTTCTTTCTAATAAAAAAAGAAAAAAGAAAAGAAAAGAGGCGTGGAGAGGTCTGTGCTCTCCTTAATGGTCCTACAGGAAGTCTTTGGCAGAGTTCATAGTCAAATCAAGACATGGCAACCCTGCCACCTTTGAAGAAGGGACATTTGCAGCCCCTGCATTATGCTGTGGATTTCAACTGCTGTGTCTATCTTAAGGTAAGGTCCCTGTGCTACTGAGCTCTAAGGCCAGGAAGCACTGGCATATGGGATTTGATTGTGGACCCTCTGCTCTCCAAGCTCAGTCTTATTTTAAGTGTATTATCATTAAGGAAGAAATAATTCTGTCAGATATATTCTCAGATGTATAATAAAAGGGCTGATTATCTACAGCACAATGCACTATGTTGACAGTGGAAGAAATACAATGTAAAATATTAGAGCGTTTTAAAAATAAACACTGTCACTATTGTATTTTAATTTACAAGCTACTGATGGCAAGCAATGGGATTTCAGGTGTGCTTTACTATAGCATCCATGTTGACATGTGTAAGACCCCCCAATCACATTCTTTTTAGGATTGCTTTCTGCCAAGCAGTGACAGGAAGTGTGTGAGGGATGAACTACAGTACCCCCAATTTTCTCTTTCGCACTGAAAGGTTTCAGATCTTTATGTCCCCTCTGAGCTGCTAAGAGTGGGTTAAATGGGCACTGAAGGA